TTTCTATTCTTAGTTGTTACTTTCTCCTTACACCTTTATTCATTTTTCCTTTTACTTTTTTTTGGTTGTCTTCATAGGTATTTTTCTAGCTTTCTGATGTACACATTTAATCACTGATTTCGATTTTTATTAGCATGCAGTTAATATTATGAATTTTTCTTGGGAAATTCATGTAACTATGTTCTGTAGAGCCTTATATGTCTAGTTTAATCATCAATTTCTAAAACTTTTGCAATTTTATTTTCTATTCATCTCCCTTTACCCAAGAGTTGTTTAATAATGTGTGTATGTGTATATGTGTTGTTAATCTCCAACAACACAGATTTGACAAAATTAATCAATATTACATGTGCCTGTAAGAATGCTAATTGTATTATTTCTATTTTTGAATAATGTATTTAAGTTTTTATGGCTTGATATTGAATATTCCATAGGTAGAAGATATAGTTTTTATTGTTAAGTTAATAAATTGTTGGGAGATACACAAGAGAGGACCCCCCAAAAACCCAGAATGTATTTATAAAAAATTGTGTGTTTATTCTTACATGTTTAAATTTCGGTCATGTTTAAAGTACTTACTGTTTGATGTAATACACCTACTGAGATGCTTTTCCCACTGGTCAGAACAGTTTTTAAATTCATCCATGTTCATGTCTTTCTGCCAATTTTTGTTTCACCTCTTCCACATTAGCAAAATGTTTACCTTTGAGGACTTTTTTCATCTGGGGAAACAGAAAAAAAAGTCATTCAGGTCAAGATCAGTGAATTGTAGCATGGGGTACAGGAATCATGCCATTTTTGGTCAAAAACTGCTGAACACAGCGTGGTGTGGGCAAGCGCTCATAAGTCACCCATCATGAAATGGGCAAATGAGTTGGAAGAATCTCAAAAAAAAAAAAAAAAATGCACCGAAGCCAAACGCAGTCACTCACAACAACTCCAGCTGGTACACTGATGCCAATGGGTTCCTAAAACACTAACCTAGTGGGGCTAGCCTGTACTACAAGGGGCCACCCTCTAAAAGATGATTATGGGTTTTTGGGAATTTATATATATGGAGAGAGACAGAGAGAGAGAGTTCTTTATAACTTATTAATTTTGCTATTTTGACTGGGCATGATGGCTCACACCCATAATCCCAGCACTTTGGAATGCGGAGGCGAGAGGATTGCCTGAGTTCAGGGGTTTGAAACCAGCCTGGGCAACTTGGCAAGACCTCGTCTCTACAATAAATCAAAAATTTAGCCGGGTGTGGTGGTGCACACCTGTGGTTCCAGCTACTTGGAAGGCTGAGGTGGAAGGATTGCCTGAGCCCGACAGGTTGAGGCTACAATGGCTGTGAGCATGCCGCTGCACTCCAGCCTGGGTGACAGGCTTCAACAACAACAAAAAGTTGTACTATTTCTTCTCTACATTTACTACCTTGACCTGAGATGATTAAAGTACCCTATTATTACTATGTTTTTTAAAAAGTTTTCCTCGTATCTCCTGTAGTTTCTGCTTTATCAGAATTGTGCTATATCACTGAATGCATAAATAGTAAAAACTATTAATATATCTTCATTGTGAAATTATAGCCCTTGGCATTTTAAAGTGTCCTTCTTGGTCTTGTTGAATGCTTTTTTACCTGATCCAGGGGTTAAGATAATGACTCCTGCCTTTAAATATTGTTTTAATCTGCATTTTCCTGATATATATTAACTCAACTATCTCTGTTAAAATTTCTTCTAACTCTCTTTGATTTGGATGTCTCTTGTAAAAAGCATAGATTTATATGGAGCGAATGTAAAAACTTGTTCTTTTAATAGTGAGGTAATAAGCCCTTTGCATTATTTTTATAAATATGTTTGACTTCAGCCTATCATATTTTTATTTCCTAGATTATGCAAATATATATCCTATATATACATAATATTATTCACTATGCTGTTTATTTTATTTACTTTTTTCCCTGGACAATGTTTTGGTATTGAGGATGGTTTATATTTTTATTCTTCTTTTTTTGAATTGGAGTCTCACTCTGTCGCCCAGACTGGAGTGCAGTGGCCACTCCCGGCCACCGCAGCCTCAATCTGCTGGGCTCTGGCGATCCCTCCACCTCAGCCTTCCAAGTAGCTGGAATTACAGGCATGCGCTACCACGCCTGGCTGATTTTTTTTGATTTATTATAGAGATGAGGTCTAGCTGCCCAGGCGGGTCTCAAACCCACGGGCTCAGGCAATCCACTCACCTCCTCAGCTTCCCAAAGGTGTGGGATTACAGGCTGAGCCACGGAGCCTGGCTTATATTTTTATTCTAATGCTACTTTTATAGTACATCTTTATGCAATAGGTATCTATTCATTTCCCATTCTAATATTGTCTATTAATTCCCCACTCTAAGTTATAATGGAATTTTTTAGAAAGTGTTTAACCCTATCCTCCTTCCTTCTTTGGTGTCTAATTTGAAGTCATATTGTTTTGCTCTCAGTTTTTCCGTATAAGCATGTGCTCATATGGACAATAAGTGAGCGTACTCTACTTTCCATCAGCTTTCTCCTTCTCCTTTCATTTTTTTGCTAGCAGTATTGTATTTTCAGAGGCGATAACATTAAATGCTATTCTGTCACCGTTATCTACATTATGTGGTCTTAGTTCTATAGTCTATAGTTAGATACATTTAAATGTACACCATCAGATTGTATGCCTAACACCTCTGTGATTCTGGAGTGTGTGTGTGTGTGTGTGTGTGTGTGTGTGTGTGTGTGTGTGTGTGTGTGTGAGAGAGAGAGAGAGAGAGAGAGAGAGAGAGAGAGAGCATGTGCATATGTGTGCTTATTCTATTCTCTAGTAAATTCCCCAGGAAGTACTTTTGGGAAAAATATTTCCTGAGTCTTTGCAAGTTCTTTGCTGTCTGTCATTGGTCTTTATACTTAAAGTCCAGTTTGAATGAATATGAAATAAATTTGTTCTCAGAAGGACACCTTTACCTTTCATATGTGCTCATACCTTACTACTCTGGCTCTAGCTCTGGTTTGTTTTATAACAGATTACTATAAATTTAGTAGCTTAAAACAACAAAAATTGTATTATCTTACAGCCCTGGAGGTCAGAAGTATAAAATCAGGTCATGGAAGGGTTCTGATCCTTCTGGAGGCTCTTGGGAAAGATCCTTGGCCTTTTCCAGACTCCAGAGTCTGCCTGCATTGCTCGGCTCGTGGTGCTTGGCTGCAACCATGGTTCCATCATCACATCTCCTTTTACTGACTTTGACCCTCTTGCTTAACTTTCATGAGGACTTTTGCAACTGTATTGGGTTAACCCAGATAACTTGAATTAATATCTCCATCTCAAAAATCCTTAACTTAATCACATTGCAAAGTCCCTTTTGCCATATGAGGTAACATATTCACAGGTTCCTAGGAGTAGGACACAGAAATCCTTGGAAGTTGTTATTCAGCCTACCACATTTTAAAAACATTTTATTTTACAACTGTGGAGTACAATTCAGGATTAGGTATACGAGTGGACATTGTATGGCCTACCACATCCCCCCCGCCCTTGGAGATTCCGCTTACTTCAAGTAAAAACCACTTCACATGCAGTGAAAAATTTCATGTGCAGTGAAAAATATGTCTTATATAGGATCTAGTTATTTTGTTGTGGGAGGTCTTTCAGAGTATCTAGTTTTTTGTACTGACAAAAGCACACGTTCCCCCGAAAATGATATTGATTAAATTAAATATTTCTAAACAATATTAATTGGCTCCATTGTAAATCTTTAGAATCAGCTTCTCTAGGATTAGGTCTGTAAATCTTTTCCTTAAAAACGACTTCCCAGCCTGTAATCCCGCGCTTTGGGAGGCTGAGGTGAGTGGATTGCCTGAGCCTGTGGGTTCAAGACCCTCCTGGGCAACCTGGCAAGACCTCATCTCTACAATAAATAAAAAAATTTAGCCGGGCGTGGTAGTGTGCACCTGTAGTTCCAGCTACTTGGAAGGCTGAGGTGGAAGGATCACCAGAGCCCAGCAGGTCGAGGCTGCGGTGGCCAGGAGCGGCCACTGCACTCTAGTCTGGGTGACAGAATGAGACTCCGACTCAAACTCCCCCCTGCAAAAAAACGACTTTTGATGATTCTAATAATAAATTATAATTGATAGTTTCTACCCCATAACTTGTTCAGATCTGGTGGTAGACATCAGAGAAGGTTGGAGTTAACACCGATGGGGAGGTAGGGAAGGGAGGCTCGGGTATCCTGGCCCCTGGCTCAGTACCTAGTAACACATGCCTTCTCCCCTTCTCCTGCACAGTCCCTGGGGACTTTCTTTCATTTATTGAGAGTCTTAAATCACCTTTCCTGTGTGACCTCACAGGTGAATATAAGTTTAACACTCTAGAATTAGAAGTAGTGACAAACCAAAAATAATTTTCCCTATCTAAACCTTAGTTGTTCTTAAAGGGCCATGACAGAAAAAGCACCGTTTAGATGAAATCTTTTCTGGTCCATCTCTGCCAAGTATTAAATATGAGATCTCCTCTCTATGACTCTAACTTTTGAAATTTTACACAATATTTTCTCAAGTAGATGCTTTCTATGAGTACAGCCTATGTCCAGTTCCTCCTCCTCCTCATAACCTGTAGCCCTTGGCCCATCATGTCAATAAAAGGTGGTTGAATGAGACACAGAGGTCAGTTGCTTAAGAAGGTTTTATTGGTGCATCAGGACAGATGGGGGCAAAAGACAGATATAGACAAAAGTAGTCCTGAAAACCCCACGAGTTGGGGAGAATTCAGCACAAAGGAATTACTCGCTCCTCGTCTGCCTGATCCTGAGAGGGACTGCACAGCAAAGCAGGTAAGAGAGTGGCATTTAGGATAGAAAGCACCTAGTGAAAATGATCTCCCTGAGAAAGGTCTAAAAGGGAAGCATCACGATTAAGGGCTGGTATCCAGGGATGTGCCAACCGGACTGGCCAGGGAAGAAAAAGTCAACTCCTCTCTCGCTGCCTTTGGGTGTTGGAGTCAGGGGGAGTCAAGGTTTGCTGCTTTTGAAATAGGAATACAGCGCCCTGGCTGTGATACCTCGCCTCTCTTCTGGCTGGGCTGCACCCTGGCCCTGTGCTGAAGGAACACCGGTGTGCGGGCTGTTCTGGTCCTGCCTGTGGAACACTGTCTCCCTTGTGAGGTCATCAACCCACTCTGCGCTAACCACTGCAGGCTGTCTTTCTCCCTGCCCTCCGGTCACACTGCCCCCTGGGTGAGTGCTGCTCCAGTCCTGTCTTCCTGACACAGTGCTCGCCCCATTCTGGGCCTGGCCTCCCTGCACTGTCTCTCCTGTCTCATAGCTGCTCACTTGTGTCCATCTTTGGCCACTGCCTGACTGCATCTGCGTCTGTCCCTGTTCTCTAACCCCTCCATGGCTTACAGTCTGGCTTCTATCCTGCTCCACAGTCTGGGTGTGTGTCCCTTCCTGTGTCTGAATGTATCCTCCTGTCCCAGTCTGGCCGGTCTGGCTTCTGTCCTGACTATGGATCTCAGTTCCTCTGTTCTGGTCACTGGTAGACTCTTGTGTCTGGGTGCGGGTGCTTCCTGTCTGACAGCTCCTGTCCCGCTCTGTTGTCTGGGTGTGTGACCCTTCCTGGGACTGAACATGTCCTCCTGTTACAGCTTGGCTGGTCTGGCTCCTGTCCTGACTATGAACCTCGGTCCCTCTGTTCTGGCCACCAGTGGACTCCTGTGTCTGGGTGTGGGTGCTTCCTGTCTGATGGGTCCTGTCCTGCTCTGTTGCCTGGGTGCGTGTCCCTTCCTGTGTCTGAACGTGTCCTCCTGTCACAGCCTGATTGGTCTGGCTCCTGTCCTGACCGTGGGTCTCAGTCCCTCTATTCTGGCCACCGGTGGACTCCTGTGTCTGGGTGTGGGTGCTTCCTGTCTGATGGGTCCTGTCCTGCTCTGTTGTCTGGGTGTGTGTCCCTTCCAGTGACTGAACGTGTCCTCCTGTCACAGCTTGACCAGTCTGGTTCCTGTCCTGACTGTGGGTCTCAGTCCCTCTGTTCTGGCCACTGGTGGACTCCTGTGTCTGGGTGTGGGTGCTTCCTGTCTGAAGGCGCCTATCCTGCTCCAGGGTCTGAATGGCACCTGCCTGGGTGTGAGTTGCTGTTCCAGTCACAATCTCACCTGTGTGGTCGGCTCTGTCCTGTTCCCTGGTCTGTGGCTGTTTCTCTGACCTCCTCTCTCTGGTCTGATGACTCTTGCCTTCTCCTACTCTCTGGGTCTGCTGGCTGCTTCTCTCCTGTCTCTGGGACTCAGTTTGCCTGTCGTGGCTACTGACCCAAGTAGAGCCGATGTTTTGATCCTGGGTCTGAGTCCCAGGTCTGCCCTGCCCTCTGGAAGCCTGCTTGGTCTGTCCGTGGCCACTCTCCACGTGATGCTGCCCTTCCCCAACTCTTCCCACTTCAGTGCCACTTCTCTGTCCTTCCCCCAGCTCTTGGGAGGCCCCGGGGTGGAGTCTTTCAGACTCTGGAGACCCACAAGCTCCCTTGGGACTCTCGCTCATCGTCTTGAAACAGGCCTGGGCAACTTTAAACATCAAGACCAGGAATTCCTTGAAATCCACAGTCCCTGTGTTGTCTTCATCCAGCAGGCGTAGGACCTTATCCACAGTTGCCGGGTCATGGGGGTTCTGGAGAGAAGATGAGGGCAAGTCAACATCCCTCCACTGAGGAGCACGTGGTGGGGCCAGTTCCACTCAGCCTCAAGGCTTTCCCCCACCCCGACACACACACCTCCTAGAGCCCCTGGACTCTAGGGTTGATTCTCTGGGCTGTTCTTGGGACCTTGTCCCTGGACTGACACCCTATTCTCTTCATCAAACCCAACACAAAGAGCAGCACAATGGGAACATGGCCCTGAGGAAATTCTGTGAGATTCTCACAGAGGCTCAGATGTTTTCCCAAGATAGATGTGATCAGCCAACTAATAATTGTGAGCAACTGTTTTGTTCAAGGCACAGAGCCATGCTTCTAATGAATGTTATTAATGGATGATCAGATGTCAGATAGACGTGGGAAATGTTTACTGTATCAAACTTAAACAACAGCAGAGAGCAGCGATTATTTTTATTTCTAGAGCATTCCAAGGTTCTGCTCCTCCCGGAACTGTCCCTTTAGAGTTCTTTTATCTTGTCTTTAAATTAGTATGAATGAAAACCAAGATATTTTCTCCAAGGGCCAGACCCCACAACTCCCATGACCATCTCTTGTTCTTCGGCTTTCTCTTTTGCTGCCTGCACAACTGCGATCTGTGCTGGCAGCCTGGATTTGCCTACTGCCTCTTTGGAGTTCCCAGGCAAAGCCTCTGCAGGCAAGCAGGGGTTTGCTCTTCTATGCTGCCCCTCCCCGCCTGGCTCAGCAACTCTTACCACAATCACATCTGCAAACTCATGCTCCAACAGTCTTTTCAGCTCCCCTCGGCTGAGCACCATGCAGTCGCCCTCCATCCTGGCATAGCGCCCAAAGGCCTCCATGATTCCACTGATGTTTTGCAGTAGCTGAGGCATCTTTGAAGTCAAGCTAGAAAAGATGAAAAGCCTCCCTGGGGGCTTCACAATCAACCTCTGCTGTTTCCTCCTGGCACTTCTGCTTCTAGGTCTTTCCTTGCACGCTCAGCTCTGCTTTTGGTTTCTCTTTCTCTGTCCTTCCCTATGTGATGTATTTCATGTAGGGGAAGGAAGAGCACATGGTGATGGGAGGCAGGCTTTCGAGTCAGGATTTAAATGCTGGCCCCGCCACCTACTTATCATGTGAACTAGGCCTAGTTCCTTTGCCTCTCCATGCCTCAGTTTACTTATTGTGAGTGAAGGTGATATTAGTACTTTACAGGATTACTGTGAAGATTTAAAAAGGTAATTCGTAAAGAGTACTTAGCAGATTCCTGCGTATACTAAGTGCTAGCTATTAAATATGATTATTATGCTATTATATACATAGAGACCCATATAATTAGTGTACATGTATATACACTCTACTGTTCACAAAGCACTTTGCTGGGTATCATCTGTCATAGTTCTTTTTTGTAGGTGAGGAAACAGGCTTAGAGAAGTTAGGCTACATAACTTTTAAGGGACCAAGAAATCCTAAAATCAAGCTCTCCTTAACCCTAATGCAATGGGCTTTCTAGAGTGTACCCTGTGGACAGGGTTCATTTGCCTATGACAAGGGGGTCAAGGTCTCATTGGGAACAGTAGGCAGTAAGTACACATGTGAATCAACACCTGTCTTGGGTGAGAGTCATGCAGGAACGTCCAGAAATTCCTTTCTTGCTTCCGTTGGGAAGAAGTTAGACTACCATCTGTTGCAAAGCGAGAGGGGCACCTTCCCTGAGGGAAGGCCTTCTAATTCTGAGGGCCCAAGTTTCTTTGCGTGTAACCTGTGTCCTCAGTCCTGGGCCCCGTCAGAGAAGTCAGTTCACCCACTGGGCATGTGACTCCTTCAAACCCAGAGTCCCAATCAAAAAGGAAGATTTTCCTTTTCATTGCCTAGGACTCTAAAGGTAGGTTGCGGTGAGGCCTGGGTGTGGTTGGATGGACAAGAGGCATAGAGACTCGGAGATGCACTAAGCAAAGCCTTGGAGAGACCAAAAGGAGGAACTGGTATCAAAGAGGACAAGGCTCAAATTTGGGGGCACATGGAGGCCTACTGCAGCTGAAAACCAAGGCAGGAACCTTGAAGATGTGAAGTAAAACAGGACCAGGAAGATGTGGTTAGAGAAACAAGAGAGAAAAGGAGACCTGGGTGCTAGAAAAAAAAAGCAGGTAATGTGGCCAGAAGGATCCAGAAGGTTACAGTCCAAGGTGGACTGCTCAAGGGGCATGCTTTCTAGGGCCTGACAGTCAATGATTTCCAGCAGACTTTTCTCTCTTGTGTGCATCACGGTACAAAACTCAGAAAATTGCTCCTCAACATAGATTTAAAAAATCCCCCTCCCCCTTTTTTATTTAACCCTGTTGCGGACTTCAGTCACTGACCTACAAATAGTAAAAGCAAGATGACCTTCCAGTCATACTCCAGATTCCTTAGAATAAATCTGCAAACAGCTTGCCTAGATATCACCCTGGGGAGGGCAAAGGGAGTCATAGAATCCCCTTTCTCCATTGTTCTCATTGTCTGGACTGGCATAAGTAAGCTAATCTGATTCCACACTGTCAGTATTGCAAAGAAGACTGCAGAGCATTAGAAACAAGAGACTTGTTTCTGGTCTAGGAAGGCAGGTGGGTGGCTCCGGTGCCACTGCCCATGCCATTTCCCGGTGAGACAAGCTGCTGCCAGGCCAGCCTCAGGGAGGAGGAGAAAGTCTAATTGCTTCAGGAGAGCATCTTTCCCAATGTGCTCTGGCTTCCAAGGCCCACAGCCAGCACTGACAGACATATAGTCCATATCTGACAGCTCTGGTTTTATGAGCTCAGCTCACCATGACACTGAGAATGAAAAAGCGGTTCCTCAAGCGGGGACTTACCTAATGCCCAGGTGGGATCAGACAGGTGGCTATCAAGCGGTGTGTGGAGTACCAAGTCAGCAGGATGGGAACCTTTTATAAGGTTTTCAATCAAGACTCATGTTTTAGACAGGACATCCGCCCTGTGGGAAGGCTTGATTCATCCAAGATTCAGCCCAGCCCAGCCCCACCTCCTTTCTTCTCTGTTTCACCTACTGACGTGTGGCTGTGTTGGTCTAATTAGCAGGCCCCTCCCACCACATTCAGTGCCCTCTCAAGCTGGGTGGTTACTGCAGGGAGGCCGCTTTTCATTGTGATGGGCTCAGCAGTGCCCTGCACAGGCTGAGATCCTGGTGAACGTCCCCTGTCTCCATGAACTTGCAAAATCACGGGACACTTTTCCTCTTTTTCTGCAAACATTCAAGAACGTATCTGCCTATGAAGGGCTATCCTTTTCAAAGTAGCCATACTGGGAAGGCTGCACATGTTTTTCTGGTGATGTTGCTATTACTTAGAACATATTTTGAATTCTTGTTTTGGAATTGCCTTTCACACCTAGTGTGTGAGACACAAGAAATCCAGTCTCATTTATTTATAGAAGAGTCTTGTTTTTGTTTTTGTTGTTCTTTTTTTTGTTGTTGGTCTCATTCTGTCACCCAGGATGGAGTGCAGTGGCACACTCATGGCCACTGCAGCCTTAACCCAATGGGCTCAGGTAATCTTTCCACTTCAGCCTTCCAAGTAGCTGGAACCACAGGCACGTACCACCATGCCCGGCTGATTTTTTTTTTTTTTGCCATGTTGCTTAGGCTGGTCTTGAACCCCTGAGCATAGGCAATCCTCTTGCTTCCACCTCCCAAAATGCTGGGATTACAGGCGTGAGTCACAGTGACCAGCTGAGTCTCATTTTTAAATAAGACCAAAAAAGGTTAATATCTCCCATGACCCATGCTATAGGTAGGTAGCATTTTATAGCTGGTGAGAGAAGAGGCTTACTATGATCATGTATTGCCTCCTTATTGCAAAGACAAGGAACTCATCGGGTTGACTAATCAGCAAATATTTATGGAAAGCTCATTCATTTCAGATATTGGGCTAGGGCCCTAGGGATACAGTGTTGAATAAGATGACAGCAGTTTCAACTCTCAGGAAGTTTACAGCCTGGCAGTCTCAGAGGAATGTCCCCAAGAGGTTAATGATAATGGTGATTACCATTCACCATTCATTTTAATTTTATTACCATCTCATTTTGTTTGATACCAATGGCAATCCTATGATGAGGTATGGCTAGGCCCCTCTTATAAACGAGAACACTGTGAAATTCTCAGGGAGTTGACCACTTGGAGAAGAAGGGATGTGACTGGACCAGAGCCCCTCAGACTCCAGGCCCTGGTTCTCACTTGTTACAACACATGGCCACTGACTCTTCTCTCAATGACTTGTGGACCTTTACACACAGCAAATGTGTCCTCAATGCATAAGAGCCATCATTACTGAGGATGCTGAGAAGGAAGTTTTCTGAGCTCTGAAGCCAAGTCCCAAAGGGGCTACTAAGCAGCCCTTTTGCAGGAAGTATATACTGTGTACCTTCTCAAGTGACTGGATGGGGAGAGCCACCTTTGCCATCCTCAGGTACACTCAGCATGCGGTAGACAGAAAGGGGAATGACTGTCAGGATGGGAAGGTGCCACAGTAAGGGCCCTGGTTGCAGTGACTGGCAGAGCAAAGGAAGCCCTGCAGCAACAGCACAGGTTCCAGCACATCACATCAGGGCACAAAGCACTGGGGAAGCTCCGGACTGGGCGGGCAGGCTGCAGGCTGTGTGGCTGGAGAGGTCAGTCTGCATGGAGAGGGGCTGGCTCCAGTCCCGGGGTAGGGGTGGGCTGGGGGTGCTGGCCAGGCAAAGCAGGGTAAGGGCTCCAACCTTTGGGAGCAGGAGGAGGCTGAGGTTGCTATGGTAACTGATCAGCATCAAGAGAAGGCCAGTATGACAGGGGGAAGTCGGAGAACAAGAGGGAGTCCAGCAGATAAGACCTTCCTTCTGTGGGTAGTCCTCTAAGCCTTATCTGAAGAAACTTAGAACTTCCAAAAAGATTTGGGAACTAAGGGAAAATTAGGGAAGTAACAAGCCAAGTGCTTTATCTATGATGTAACTATAGGGTAGGTATTATTACACCCAATTTATAAATGAAGAAGCTAAGGCACAGAGAGGTTAAGTAAACTATCCAAACCCACATACCTAGAAAGCAACAGGCCTGAATTAACTTAGTTCTGTTTGTCTCCAAAGCCCGTGTCTTTACATGGGCCTGGGGCAGGACTGAGCCTATGGGCGAGGCCATCTGTGAGGAGATGGGGCTCCCTAGAAGTAGAGGGAAACAAAGTGTGTGTGTGTGTGTGTGTGTGTATGTGTGTGTGTGTGTGTGTGTGTGTATGTGTGTGTGTGTGTGTGTGTGTGTTGGGTGCAGGGAGAGGGTGGGAATGGGGGAGATGAGGAGGTGGGAGAGATTGGGATTCACAGTAAACTTGTCAATTTGTTAGTTTGTCAAGTCTGTGAAGAGTTGTTATAAATTAGTGTGAAAGTTGTCAGAATCAAAATGTGTTAAAAAACAAAAACCAAAAAACCCTGACAAACCCAGGAAGGGCTGTGAAGAGAGCGGTTCTCATGCTTGTACTTGTGATAACAAAACTCTCACAAAAGACTGCAAAAACTACCAACTTGCACAAAGGCCATCACAACGTTGCGAAAAAAAAAAAATACTTCTGCAGGGACATCTGCTAGTAATTGCCTTTCCGACTTTGGATTAGCATCAGCCTTGTTATGATTCTTGTAGCCAAGAATAATTGTTCCAAAACAATTATATCATTCTCCTCATTTTTCCTTTAAAAATCTTTATCTTCCTTTACCCCCCTGAATGCACACATAGTTTACTATAACACACATTTCCATTGTAATACCCTATTCCTGAACAAATATCTTCTTTTTTTAAAGAGAGCCTCTCTCTGTTATTTAGGTTGACATTAGTGACTTAGTGGTTACATTTTATGGATATATTGGAGGCCAGAGAGGTCAGGGGCCTGCTCAGAAATTGAGTCAAACAATCTTCCTGGATTCCTGGCTCACTCTGCCCTGGAGCAAACCAATATATCTCAAAGTAACAGAAACTCAGCTTTGTAAATTGATTCCTTCTTACTTACTCAAAAATTTATTGCTGACTTCTATTGATTTATTCTGTAAGATACAAGCAGTATTTGTTGCACTTAGTGGACTACAAATGAATAAAATCTACTTTCCAGAAAATCAGTCTAACTGGACCAACAGGCCATACACACATGAGATAATTATTTAAAAAGGAAGACAGACTTTTGCAGAATGCTAAAAATATTTTTTAAATGGTCAAATTGCATACGGTTTGGGGTGAAGAATCAGTGCTCAGAAATATGAGAGACCAGGGTCTATGTTAGCAACACTTCTCTGCCTGTGCTGTGTTGGTTTGCTAGATTTTATTTTGTTTTGTTTTATTTTATTTTATTTTATGAGTCAGAATCTCACTCTGTCACCCAAGCTGGAGTACAGTAATACACTCACAGCCACCGCAGCCCCAATCTGCTGGGCTCAGGTGATCCTTCCACTTCAGCCTTCCAATTAGCTGGAACCACAGGCATGCGCCACCATGCCTGGCTGATTTTTTTTATTTATTGTAGAGATGAGGTCTTGCCATGTTGCTTAGGCTGGGCTTGAACCCCTGAGCTCAGGAAGTCCTCTTGCCTCTGCCCCTCAAAGTTCTGGGATTACAGGTGTGAGCCACTGTGCCTGGTGGTTTGCTAGTTTTATTTTGCTTTATGTTATTTGCTGAGCACCTACTATATGCAGATACTATGCTAAGATGTACAGATACTATGCCAAGAGCATATCTTTTTTTTTTTTTTAACTGCAACACCCTTTATTCAGCACAAGAAACACTAGGATGCCCTTCCTAGAGCCAGAGTCGTCACACACTCTTCCTCCCCATGGAGATGTGCAGGCCATAGGCTGCGGCCACTTGCTCTAGTGGAGGTGCTGTCTGAACTGGAGCCCACAGTAGCCACACATCCCTGTCCTGGTTTCTTTGTCCAAGGTGATCTACACTTTTGGGTAGCCAAGGCCTCCCCTGCCACCATCACATGCGATCACCTGGTTCTCCACTTGGCTCACGGGCTGCTTGGCTATCAGGTTGACATCAAAGTTCTCATTTACGTCTTTCTGACACCAGCAAACCAAATTCTCCTGTAGTCTTTATCATCATAAACCTGGCTGGTGTGCATGACCTTCTCCCCAGTCAGTGAGACCAGCACCCCTAAAAAGCTGGCGGCCCCAGACAGGCTTTGTGCCGCCACTACGTTCCAGCCCAGCAGCCGGCAGAAGGTCACCGCAACCACCATCTTAGATGACTGCCCCTTAATATCATTTTATTTAACCCTCACAACTACCCTATGGTAGCAAAGGTATTAATTATCCTAACTTCACAGACGAAGAAACTATCATTTAAATAACTAACCTAACTTCCCAGAGACACAAGATAAATGACAAAGGCAGGATTTGAACCCAAACTTGTTTAACAGCAAATTCCAGTGTCTAAACTCTGCTCTGCTCCTTGGCTGAGTTTCTTAAAGTCTGAGAAATTCCTTTTGGCTTAAATTCAGTTCAGCGTGGTGTGTTCCAGTTGAACCACTATGTGACTAGCTGTGGATCCAGAGAGTAAAAAGTAGGTCAAGTCCCCAGAGGCCCTGTGTTACGCGGGGGCAAAGCCCAAAGAAGGAATCCCTCTTCATGCTAATTCTGCTGCTTTCTTCTTCTTACTCTTTCTACAGTGGCAAAATCCAAGATGTTTGGCAGAAGTGTCTGGAAGGTCAGCCCAGGAAAACAGCTGGGCTTTTGTGGAGGTGGCACCCTCCCTTGGTTTCTCTCCTGCCCAATGTCTCGTCATAGTCTCCTGACGACTCCCAACTTTGTCCCAAAGAGGAATGTAGTTGTCACATACACAAGCAAGGAGGCTGAAGTAGAGTGCCCTGTAGGCTAAGCATCACCTGTCTTATGAAGTGTC